ACCATGTGCAGGCATCTGGTCAAACATGAATATTGGAGCCTGCTCAGAGTAACATGTCCAAAGTCACACAGCCAAGAGGTTGAAGCCAAATGACCTGGCTCCTTAGCATTTGGGATGTTCTTAGTCTCCATAGGCTGTTGTCATTGTGGTTGTTACCTGCATTGCTGGATATAGAACCTGCAGTGTTCCACGTGCTAAGCAATGCTTAACCACTGAGCAATATCACTGGTCCAGCCATATCTGAGTGTTACTAGGTATGCCATAACACCTTCTGGCAGGTCCTGGTTAATGCCAGTGTTCTCGTGTCTCCCTGTAGCTGTCATGATGTGGCTTTTCAGAGGGTTAGGGTACTACTGGCCTTACTAAGACTCTGCAGTGATGGTCTGAGCTTATCCTGCTCCATGTACCCAGCTGATGTATGAAAACACCATAGGAGGAGAAACCAAACCAAACTAAACCAAACAAAACGAAACTCACTCTATTCCTGCCCTCAAAGAACCAATAGTTCTAGTGGAGCAGACCAAGCTTTTACACAGGCAATCAGTCTACAAGAATGATAATTTTAGGAGTTACAGAATTACAAATCTCCCAAAGATTGGCATTGTGGCATGAACCCAAGTGTTCAAGGTCTGCATCTTCCATTGAGTCACCAAACAAACTGGTGACAGAAGGTGAATGGCAGGCTAACCTGTATCACCCTCACGTATACATGCTTTTGGATGTACTCAGCCCTCTGCAGCCAGCCAGCATACTGGGATGTACACACCATAAATGAATTTCTTGGCAGACAAAGGCTGACCTCTCAAGATCTTCATCAATTTCATCTGGAAGCCCTGAAAATCTGAAATGTAATGTGACTTGTAAATGATTAAGGTCTGAGTTTGTGCCACTCAGAGTTATATCTAATATTTTTTATTACTTTAAATAGAGTTTGATCTAGTTAGTGAAGCTTTAAAAATACGACTCTTAATATAATCCTTCATAAGGATACCCTGACCCTGAGCTGAAAGGACAATAGCCAAGCCAGTAGTTTCCAACTTTCCCTGCTTCCAGTCTTTAGGAACCTGCTCAAGTCAAAGGCCTGCCTCAGACATACAGAGCGTTGTAAGGTTATCAGAGGCTGCAAAGTGCTTTCAAGTGTGTCTATTATTGAGCATGTTTTGGAATGTGTGCTTTTCATTACTTTGTCCTCACTTAAATATATCAGTTTCTTTCCAGAACACAGAGCCCAGAATCCTTGGAACTTCCAGTGACTCACATGATTATATGTTGTTCTCTTGATTTTTCTAAGAATTATATTGGAAAAGCAAATGGTGACACATGGGGTCTTACTTGCTGAGCAACATGTGACATTGGGCTTGCTATTGCTGTTTCATGGTGCCTAAAAGTTGTGACACATCACATGAAAATGTATTAGTTACTTTTCCATTGCTGTGATAAAACACCGAGACCAATACAACTTTCTAGGAGGAATGGTTTATTTGGGGCTTACAGTTCCAGAGAGTTAGAGTCCATGATGGCAGAGTGGACTTAACCGGTGGCAGGTGGCTATAGCAACTGAAAGCTCACATCTCAAACTACAAATAGAAATCAGAACACAAACAGGAGAAATGCTTTGAGTCTTTGAAGCTTCAGATCTTGTTCTCAGTGACATACTCCCTCTAGCAAAGCCACATATCCTAATCCTCTCCATAGAGCTACCAACAATTGACAAGCACTCAAATGCTGGAGACTTTCGGGAATATCTCATTCAAATAACCACTGCAAATCAAGACAAATTGATTCCTGAATGCTGTGGGCTGTACCACATCCCTGACAACACTGACTCCTGCCCAGAATCCTCAACAGATGGGAGATGCAAGAACAGACTGCTTGGTGTATTGGGAATCACACAAATCCTGGGAATTTGGAGTGTGCCATGTGGCTGAGAACATAGCTCTTTACACAACTCCTTCTCCATCAACAGACTCAAAAGATTTATGAGAAGCTAAAATATTTTTCCACAGTTGCTGATGCTACTAAGAAAATCCTGTCCAGCTACCTGTTTCAGGGCCCCTCCTATCATTACCAAGACCTGGATCTCCTGGCTGTCACTCATTGCTCTTTCATCTCCTTAGCAATGTGCTTCCCAATTCTGTTCCTCTAGGCACAGAGCCCACTACAACCACTCCAGGACAGGTTTGCACTGTCTTTTTTCATTATTATTCTCTAGAAGCAGGTATACTAACAACGAAAGTTAGAAGCTACTCTGTACCCAAAGTACTGGTAGTGCAACTGCAGTACCAGTTACTTGGAAGCATGAGGTCAGAGGATCATTTGCATCCAGGAATCCAAGGGCAGCTTGGACAACATATTGAATATGTTCAATAGAATCTCATGAAGATCTGAGGAAGAGGAGAAGGGGAGGGAAGAATAAGCAGAAGAATGGGAGGAAGAAGGGGAGGAGGGGAGGAGGAGGAAGAGAAGGAAGGAGGGAGGACAATGCAGACAATGAGCTCCATTGTTGAGATGGATCTAGATCTCAGTAGGCAGGAGTCCATTGGGACATTTCTGGGTATAATCATGTTGAGATGGTCCAGCACTTAGATCTATGAGAGCGCATGGAGAAAAATCAACTGACAAAACAAATTTCCAACTGCTGACATCATTCAGCCTTTGTTTATGCCACATCAGTAAGACCAGCTAGGAAAACAAAAGTTGAAAGAACTTGACTGTAAGAATGATGCCAAATTACAGCTGGCCTCTTGGTTTTATTCTTTTTTATTTAAATAATGCAACCAAATCATTATGGAAGTACAGTGCATTACCTAATTTTTCTGCTGTTAGGTGTTGCATGATCTCCACAGTTTTGCTTACACAAAACACTTCACCACCCCTGCTCGTTTCAAATATTCTCTAATAGACTAAAAGACATCAAATGATTAAAAGATGAAGAATAATTCAACACTACCTAATATGTGTTCCTGGTGACAAGGCCATTATTCTTCTTAAGTGCACTCTTTATGCCATTTCCAACTGCCTAACATCTGTGAAGGAATCAAGGTCAAGGTTTAAGATGAACATGTGATTGATCTTTGGAAAACATTCATATCTCCAAAGCCATTATCAGCTACTCCAGACTAGCAACTAGGACGATCAATGGCCAGGAAAAAGCCTGGAAAAACCGAGTAGAGCAGGAAAGACAAAATACAGTTTGCTCTCCATTTCTGAGATCTTCATTTTCGCCCACAAGGAGATTCTTTCATATTCAAAATCTGCAAACAGTGGCACTGATAATTCTCTAAAGAATTTGTGTACTAGGCAGCTGCTATGCATTATGATCCCATGTTAAAGATGGAAAGATAATGATGACAAGAACGAAAACACATCAAAAGCTATCAGTAGCATCACATTAAAACACTTGTGACCAGCCCAGGGAAAAGAGGCTGGTAGAGTGGGAACTGTCTGATACATCTTCATCTGTTTTCTGTTCTGCTAATGCTAAGATCCAGCTAGTTTTGAAAGTATAATGCCTACGGAGTTGTATTATTGCACTGTTCAAAGGGGCAGAAAACCCTCTTGGGAAATCAAGCATTTAGCTCAAGTGTTTTATTTAGGAAAAACACCAACGGAGTTGAGTAAAGAAATGTTTTCCATGCCATCTGGTCTCATGTCTGCTCTTTATCCCAGTTTGAGGAGGAGGCGACCTGAGTGATGGTCATCTTTGGGGTCTATTAAAACGTTTTTCCAGGGAGAAGAGCAGTCCCAGGCAAGACCTTTGCAGGGTAACGCTTCCCAGGTAAGTCAGCCTCAGGACTGCCCTGTAAGGGAGGACTAAAAGAAGAGCAGCTCTGTCCTGGCATATAAAGTTCAACGTGAACTTGAGCAGACCACAGACCACAAATAAAAAGCAGCTCCTTCGTAGCAGTGGTTATTTGTGCTGGGAGAGAAAACTGCGCAGAAAGGGTTATGCAAGTTTTTATGAAATTTCTCCCGTTTCAACAAGCCTAAGAGATAAGGGGTGGCAAAAAGAACGAACTCCTGTAGTCTAAACCTTGCGCTGGACAAGTACGGGCCAGTTATGAGTGAGGATTTGGTGTCTCCCAGAGACTCCTAGGCATAGGTTGGTCGTAGTTTGCAGAGAACACTGTGTCCTCCAGAGAGCTTAGAGCTGCAACAGTTTTTCAGAACTCAACTTCTCCAGTCTCCTCTCCTCTCTGTTTCATAAGTTCGCATTCAAGATCACACCCAGCCCCCGATTTTTTAAAGTCCGCCTCGCTGAGATCCCACTGAAAAGTTAAGTCCTAAAGACCCTCCTCATCACTCCTTACAGATGCCTTCCACAAGTGATACAGAAGGGAATAGTCCAGAGCTGTCCAGGTTGGAGGCTGCGAGGATGAGTGGCACACTGTATTGCCTTCCTAGTTATAAAGTGCAATCCCCCTCCCTGGTCCAAGGGTCTCAGCCTTCACAGAGTGGGCAGTAAAGGAGCAGAAGAGTAGAAACGGGATGTGTGAAGAGGTGGAGGTGTGCCCAGGCAGGGAAAAGGAGGGCCCTTGAGGGAGGAGAGAGGAGGTTAAAGAGCAGGAGCCCTGGAGGAAGTAGGAAAGGAGTGGGAGGAGATAGCAAGTAGGCGGAGGAGAGGCTAGGAGTCCGCAGGCAGCAGGGAGGGCTAGAAGAGGGGCGAAGGGGCGGGATGTGGGGCGTGGCCGCACTGCTACCCCGCCCCTCCCCGGCCCCGCCTCCGAGCCTCTCGCGGCGCTCTGCAAATATGAAGAGACTCTGCCGCCGCGGCAGTAGCGGCCACTGCATCTCCGAGCTGTGCGCGCCAGGGCGGGCCTCGGGATTGGGGCTGGAAGCCAAGGCATCGGGGCGGGACGCGGAGAGGCCGGGCTGCGGTCCGGAACCCCGCGCGAACCCGGGCCCGACGGCGCCGAGGGAGCGCGCGCCCCGCAGTCCCGCGCTGCGCCCACCGGGTATGGGGCGCGCCGCCGCCTGAGGTCGGGCCTGGCGGGCGCCCGCCGGGGGCTGCGGCCGAGAAGCCCAGCGCGCCCCGCACAGGAGCGGTCCGCGAGCGCGCGCGGAGGGGACCGAGACGGACGACAGCGAGGCCCGGACGAGCCCGGAGATGTCTCGTGTGCTCCGCATCCTGCTCGGATATCTATTCCCAGCCCTCCTGTTGCACGGTGAATACTGGGGTGGGCTGGGGGTGGGGAGATCGCGTCGTCCTAAGGACCTCAGACAACGAAGGGAGTCGAGTTCCGTCGCTGAGGACACAGTGCGCCCCTTTGCCCAATCCGGTGGGTGCGCAGAGCCCCTTCCCCCAGCGGCGCCCACAGTGGTTTTTGCTGTTGCAGTGTTCTTTCTGGAAGGATGCGAACCTCGCCCAGACACATTTTATCTCTCACATCCGTAGCTGCACGGCTGACGGAAAACTTTTTTATCCACTCTGTGGGCCTTTCCAGCTGTAAACTGTCACAAAATCGCAGGCGTTGCGGTCCCTTTTCCACCGCTGTCAGAGCGCAGCAGAGGCTCTCGGTGAGGTCCTGGCCTTTACGAGACTGTAAAGAGAAAGCTGTGATGGTTTATAGGGAGAACACGTCTCACGGGTGTTTGTCTGCCGTCTGAGGACCAGTGTTTGTAGTCTGCTTGCACCTTGGCTCCTCATTGAAGCTTAGTGTGCTGCTGAGTTCACTGGGCGCTAGGGGATTCTTAGTATTCTTAGTAGCGGGTGTCTTGAAAGCCAGACTGAAGGAGCTGCAAGCCCGGATCCCTCGTGCTGGTGTGGGATTAAGCATTCCTGTGCTGCTGCTTTGCTCTGGTTCTCCAGACTGTAGAAAAACTTTAGCCAGACATCTGTGCTTGAAAAGGGTTCGGGAAACTGCACAGTGCAAAATGTGACTATTGCATTGGGGTGGACAAGGCATGTTTTATGACAGGTGATTATTGATAATTGTGACCGGCAGTGGTTTGGTTGTTCTGTTGTCCAGGACAGTGAGTGGTCAGACACTTGACATTTTAGCCGAGTGACTTCACTGTGCTCCTTTCTTAACACCCACTGAAGACACCCAAACTTGCAGCTGGCCCTGTGGGGGCCAGGACTGTAGAGACGCGTCCCTCCCCCAGAGAATCAAGGGAAGGGAAAGGAGCTACAGGCTTCTGGGGTGCTGTTTGTTTTTTTTTTCTTTGTAGTCCTGCAGGGACAGCTTTCGAAGTTCCCCTAAGGCTTTGTGAACCTGCCTGCCCAATTGATTGCCAAGGTGTACACTGAGCCCCAGCCATCCCAGCATCTTAAAAGTCAGGATGGAACGCTTGCAGTTCCAGGGCAAAAGAGAGAAGGTATAATTATAGGGTTGGACTTCTAGGCCCATCTGCTTAGAATTACAGAGCAGTTTTAATCTTTGGCTGAAACATGAAACAAATCAGAGCCAATGAGCAGATCAAACAGCTGCTGCCACACACACAAGAAAAAAGAGAGGATGAAACAGACAAAATTGCCCTGTTGTTTAGAAAAAAATCTGTTGTAATGTCTGTGGAAAAAGATAGTAGTCCTGTCAAATGAAGAGTTACTTAAAAGTTTCACATAGACTATTTTGCATGGAATCATTGCTGGTTGAGTTTCAGGGATCATCTTCACAAATACACTATGGCCCCACTCCAAGCCCCCTTTCCCTCTTGAGAAACAGGCTGTAATGATGTGCCTACTTACCAATCCAGCTGAAGTAGGGATAGCTGGTAGATATCAAGAGCCCGTGTATACAAGTGTATCATTTGGTCCAGTGTAGCCAGAAATCTCCCACATTTAACTCGGGAGTCTGCGATTACTCCTTGAGATCTGGGGAAGTCTCCCCAGTGATGCCAGGAGATGAACAAGACAGAGGGAGTAACTGCAGGAGGCAGCCTGAGCTGTGAATAGGACGGGGCCAGAGAGCATGTGTGTTTATGATGAGGACGGAAGAGAAAGGGGGAGATTTGAAAAGCTTAATTGACAACCTGGATAAACTGTCACAAAAGTAATGCAGCTTCACATTGCAATGATGCAATTACCACAGCAAAAGTTGCCCAAAGATCTACTTAGATGGGGAGGGGGTGACTTGGCACAAGAAGCAAAGGCAAGGAGTAGTTATTCAAGTTGCAAATGTTCATGGTCTAAGAAAGGTTATCCACAACTAATAAGAATAGTATAAGGCACCAGAAAAGATTTGAAATCCCCCCTGCTCCAATTTTTACGTGATCAAAGAATTTTCACAAACAACGGATATTAATCAACTCAACCCAAGACAGTAGTTTGATGAGCTGTACCATTTGAGAGGTAGGGGTTTTATAGGCTTCTAGAAAGTTCTGTAGCAAAAGCTAGAGTCTGCTCAAGTATACCTCAGATGGGTTAATGATTTCTTTCCTAAAATGTAGTCATTATTTGCTAACCATGTGATGCCATTTGATTATGATAGCAATTTTTTAGATAAAAGCAAGTGTTGAATGACTCTAAATGTATTTATAGTGACTTTAATACATTTTAGACTGTGTGTATAGATTCAGTGCACAGGTAATCGAGGTCAATGAGGAAAACACAGGAGGCTTTCTGGTGGCAGTGACATTTTGTATGGGATCCAGTGTTTGTTCGGTTTTGTGGCCACTTCGATTTCAATTCATTAGAAGTCATAAATCACCCCCAAATCCTATCAGTGAGTAAATTAGCTCTCACGGGACCTGGGGCTTTTGGCTTTTACTCTTTTGTACAACTATAAATGTAGTTCGAGACCCAAGTTCAAAGTGTGCTTAGGAGTGTGCCCATCAGTCTGCTTTCCTCCCCCTCAGATTCTGCAAACAACTGCACTTCGTAATCCAAATAAAACCTCTTGAGCGTCACAAAGGTGCACAGCTGGCAGCTATCCGTTATCACCGTGCTCTTTGCTTAGATGAAAAGGCAGTTAGGTTCACATGTCAAATTTCAAAGCTCAGCCTTAGACACAGATGAACAAAGGTGTAGAGGATAAGCAAGCTACACTGACAGTGCAGCCAGCACACTTCCGCAGGGGAGCAGATGTTGGGAGACGGTGGTGGCTTCTCAAACACTGTTTACCTTAGTGGACTCCTCTGACTCCTCAGAGACCTTTGTAATTCTTCCCTTTGATTTAGCTCATTCTATCAGATGTTTATGGGCTGAGGCAAAGGCTCAGTTGGTAAAGGGCTTCCCTAACAAGCACCAGGACCTGTGTTTTGATAACCAGAACCTGCATAAGCATACTTGCAATCCCAGTGCTGGGAAGGTTGGGGCAGACATTCCTGATCAGCCTGGCTAGTCTCCTTGAGTAGTGGGCCAGTGAGAGCCTGTCTAAAAGAAGAAAAAGAGTGGTAGATTGTGTCTGAGGCTTGACACTTGAGGTTGTTCTCTGGCATTTACACACAGGAATACACCCACATGAACACACACACACACACACACACACACACACACACACACACACACACACACGGAAGGGAGAGGGGAATGTGGACATTTAAAAACTGCCAATTGCCAAATGAGTGCTTAAACAATGAGCTTCAAGAAAACATTTAAATGGAGCACAGTAGATCTTCAAAATGCCGTTTTACTGACTAGGTTGTGTAACAAAACATTTTCTTCCCTGTCCTCTCCCCTCTTTGTCGTCAGATGGAATTTTGAAAAGGATCATAACTTATTTGTACACGGTAGGGGGCAAGGACCTTGGACAGATGTTAAATATGTTCCTGCTGAATAGACTGACTTGCATCACATGTGGCCGAGGACTTCTATGATGGTCGTGTGCATCCCCCCCCCCCCGAAAGATAAAAGAACTCAACTCGGGTGGGTGATGTGACCATGAGGCTGCATACTGTTTAGGAACACATGACCACTGATACCGTCAAAGTGAAGCATCAAACATTTAAGACAGGGACAGGGCTGGCATGGAGGTGACGATGTATGCACACACCGGGCACGTGGAGCATCTGTGCCTTCAGCAGGTCTGAGGGGCTGGCATGGAGGTGACGATGTATGCACACACTGGGCACGTGGAGCATCTGTGCCTTCAGCAGGTCTGCAGCGATCACACAGGACACTTAGGAAAACCCCTGCCACCATCTACCGGGGCCTGGTGCTGCTGTGTTGTGAGGCTATGCATGTAGGCTATTGCTTCAGGGTGAATTATTTTGGAACATGGAGCGGTAGATATCTAATTATGAGAAAGCAAGTGTATTCTGTTCTTTAAGTGCCCTCCAGATTTATTCATTCAGCTGGCCATTGTTCAAAAGGTTTATCTGTGAGTACACTGCCTGTGTGTGTGTCACTGCTTACTGGGTGTAAGGGCTGAGGAGGGGCTTCCCCTTTCTTGAGAATTCCTGAGGAATATCAAGTGGTATGAAGAAATGACTCAGAGAACCCCGATCCAGGAGGGTGATGCGCTGTGAGTCATTGTACTAGTCTGCTCTTGGGAATCCTGCACATGTATCACACAAATACACACACGCATGTATGTGCAACATATATAGTATACATACGTGCTCCCATAAACATGTTTCATGCATATAAAACACATATATTGTACACACACACCATATACAGCACAAAGATCATAACATACAGAAATAGACACACATATCCACACATGTATACATGATACAAATATCATAGCTGTCTAGGATATACACACAAACATCACCCACTTACACTACAAACAACACACACACACATGCATTATAAATACATACCAAACATGTCATACCCTTATACCATACATATACATATATGCTACACAAGCATATATTGTTTATATGTGGTATACACACACATACATACATGTGGCACACACACACATATATATGTATACACACACACACACACACACACACACACACATATATATATATATGTAATCACATACATACAGAGGACTTGGCCATCTCAGTTCATCCTGTATCCAAAGGCCTTTGTAGGTATTAAAAGATGTCCACTAATCAAATCACTGTAGCCAGATAAGTGAAATTATCATTTTATTATTTTTTCTCTAAAAGGTACACACAGTATAAGTGTTTCTTCCTGTTTTTGTTTGTTTGTCATTGGAGAGAAACTTGGAACTAGAAGCAAGAGTGCCGTGTGCACCAGGGCGTGAATGGTGTTCAGCCATGCTGCTGTCTGCATCGTACAAGCTCTTATTCCAGGACCTGG